ATAATTCTCGTGCATTGAATGTTGATTATTGTGGAAAAGTTACATTTCGATTTGCAATTGATTTCCAATTGAATATGATTCGTTCTTGTGTGATGTGTTTAAATCCAACGAACTAGTAGATTAACAATCGTCTAGGATAATTAATCAACACTTAGAACCGAAAGGAGAGGTGTTGACCGATCTAGGCTCGCATGAAATAGACTTGTTCAGAAGCATATTGTCTATGTGTTGCGTGATTTGTTCGATTTACCGTCTAAGTTACCCTCTTGTTACGAAGAGTTATTGAGGACTAATTTCTAGACGTTGGGTTGTTCAATTCACTTAACCAAATGATCTTAGCTTGATAGTTGCATTGGTTAGAAAAATAATCATCCCCGACTCCCTAGCTTATTTATCATTGTTTCGTTTACATTCTTAGGTAGATTTATGTTCTATATTATTTCTTAGTTGATAATAAATCCAACCCATCTTGATTAGTATTTTTAGGATTTATTTTGTTTTTATGTGTTAACAACACCAATCCTAGATTCCGAACCGTCTTCCTCGAGAGATCGACCCCGGGACAAATCTTTTGATTCGGTACTCGGTAAAAATAAAAATAATTTGTTACAACAAATTTTGGCGCCGTTGCCGGGGATGATGATTTTCTACCAATGCAAATATCAAGCTAAGATCATTCGGTTAAGTGAATTGAACAACCTAACGTCTAGAAATTTAGTCCTCAATAACTCTTCGTAACAAGAGGGTAACTTAGACGGCAAATCGAACAAATCACGCAACACATAGGAGAGGACGATGGCCACAGCATCTCCGATGGCCACCGAAACAAGAGAGGACGACCACCGGAGCAAGAGGTGCTCACCAGAGCAATTTCGGCGACCAGCCGCCGTCGGACGCGCCGGAGCCGGAACCACATGCGCCGCCCCAGCACCGCCCGCACCCGGCCACGCACTACCCCGCAGACAGACACAACGGTCGCGCCCAGCCATGTGTCTGTATCGCTTCCCAGCGCCCTGTCGCGCGCCCCGAGTTCATCGCGCGCCACCGCGCATGCCCAGCGAGTTCCCTGACGACGACCAACAAGCCCGGTTCGCGCCCGAGATGGTTTCCAAGCGGTTCGAGAAGTCTGATTCAGTTACTGAAGGTCCGAGACGATCCGATGAACATGATGAGCGATTAGAGTACCTCGACGACTCGATTAGGATCGAAAAAGGCTAAGTCTAGTTGCCCATTGGACTTTGATGTTCAGACGATCTCCATCAATGGAAATCAAAAACGTCTCAGAGTCGACAAAAATTTTAAACTGTAAGTCCTAATCCTAACTATAGATTCCGCTGCGTTAGTATTTATTATTCAATAGATTTGAATGTGCACATCGCCGACGTTCTTAATAGAACTCAACAGTTCATTGGTTTATGGATAATTATATGTTTTATTAATATTTATGTAAATTGAATGATACTGCATTACAACTTTTAGTACTGTATGGTAAATCAAAGTTGCTCAAAATCGGACCATAACCGAGTCTATCAGGTTATATATTCAATACATTGTTGGTTGGACCAGTATTTAATTTATTAATATTAATAAATATTGATTTTATTTGAATATATATTTTTATTCATATTAAAAAATAATTTTACATGTTAAAAAATTTATTTTATAATCGTACAAATCCTACCCGTTCTAATGACTTGTGTTGATCGGCACACAAACAAATTTTATTCAAGTGAATTGGATTGATTATATCAACACCACCAGTCAAACTCTCTCTCTAAAAAAAATCGTCGTCTCTTCCCCAAAAATCGTTGTAACCTAGCTTCTTTGATTGCCGCCGATTAAGCCTCCTTCAACAGCCATCCGGGTCGTCGGAGGACGGCCCTCCTCCGCTC